TCCGGAGCTGAATTATGAAGAATCGAGAGAGAAAAAAAAAGAAGATCCGAATAGCTGGACGGGTTCGAGAGCTTGACGAGTTCGAGAGTTATCGTCCTAAACAGCTCCCAGTGAATTATTCGATTAGATGATTCTGATCCGGAGCTGAGCTGATAAACTGGAGAGCTGCATTTCATTTTTCGGTTATTTACTTTTGTGTGGATCTTCCGCTCCCCCAGAGAATGATGGGAGGAGAGGTGAGAGCACATATGCTGGAGGAATAGCATCAGCAATAAGAGCCGGCTACATACATAAATTGGATAATATCAGTAGAAAATTAACATTGTGTGTGTAGCACATGCGTATATGTCTCTCTCTCCCAAACAGCCGCTTGGAAGTTTGCTTTTACCATTGCAGCTGTCGATCAGTAGGCACATGATGTATTACGTGCGCGTCTTGGTTTACGCGGTGACTATTCAATGTGGAGTAGAGTCCTTTTTTGAAAAGATCCGCCATGAGTGATGCATTGAATGTATTAGACTTGTGATATCAGTGTGCTGATGAGCTGCGGTTCCTAAAAAATGAACCGCGGGTCATCAGCTTACTTTAGAGAATCGGGTCTATATAACAGCTCGGGAGCGGATCGCTCATCTCTAATGTGTAGTGCTATGTGAAGATATCGGGTGCGTTATCGGATTCGTTTAAACCTCCCAAAGGACTTCGACACGGCCGATCTATGGGCTTTTCTGCCTCCTATTCAGCATTGTACTACACACTATTTCAAAACTACCCAAATTTGGGTAGAATCCATCCAGATATGTCAAAACTGAACCTACCCAAAAATGGGTAAACTATGTTGAGAATGACAAGTTGACAAATGAGCGACGTTGCTCCATCGGGATTTATAATGTGTTTAATGCAGCGAATCCAAACACATAAAGCAACCAACGATACAGACAAAACGGTTGCTACGACTACCATGACAAACTTGCTCTGTAACAAAGCTCGATCCGAGTGGTAGAAGGATAATGATATATTGCTTGCCTGCTTTGTTGCAATATACACGGATGAGGACATAGCTTGATATGAATCGGGAAAAGACATAACAAAAAAATTCCCATTAACACACGTGTATCATCTTCGGCTTTACTTCGTGAAGCAGCTTGCCAACAATTTGCTCGTTTCCTTCTACCGCCCCGAATGAGTCGGGTCGCACGAGCTGCTTGTCATGAAAAAGAACGGTGAAGATTATATCATTATTGTTTTCAACTTCTGACATAGCGTTATTATTCGGTTCGTTGATCGCTTGTTATTTTGTCATTTGGAGATATTTTTGATTCCTTGGTTTAATGTTTTTAACGGTTTTGTTAACGTTTCCTCCCATAATCACCTTGCACACATTGGTGCAGCCTACACGTTATTTTAAACTAGAATCCACCCAGATCTGTCAAAACTGAACATACCCGAAAATGGGTAAACTCTGTTGAGAATGAAAGATCGACAGGGATCCGATCGACGTTGATGACATAATTAATGGACCATGCCTTATGAGCAAAAGGCGGACGCACATCTTGCAGATTTGAAGACATACTTCAAATTTTCGCGTACATCGTACGGGTTAGGCAAAAGATGTGCGTTTGACTTTGTACTGTCGCATTAATGGCAATCCGCTCATTTTCAACTTCTATTCAATTTTCATACTGCCATACTCTAACGGAACTATCCACCTACCCTCTTCTAAAAGATCATTCTCTATTAGCTAATAAATTATCACACTAAAGTTTCATGTTAGCATTTCCAACAAACTCTGAATATCACCGATTGTCTACATAAAGCGCTTTCCCCTGGGGGTGCGACACATCTATATCTCAAATTTAGATGGTCGGAAAATCTCACGTTAGCGAATCAATCTACGAAAAATATTGTTTCAACTCTTGTATCTAAATCGATCTACTCACATCGCTCTCCAACTATTTGAAGGAAATCTTAAAAAATTTCATCAATCTTCGTTCTATTACTAAGCTTGGGCGCAGCAAAGCGAAAATTTGCCTGCATCTTAGATAGAGTCGCACCCCTCGGCTTTCCCTAATACAGATTTCAAAATCGAATTCCATCCGGTCTCGCTGAACGGTGTTTATTCAATCACCGTGTGTGTTGGTGTCCAGTAGGTTGTCATCAGTAGCAGCAGCAGTGATTTCGGTGCGTGGTGTTGAACATTGTTCTCCAGTACACAATGAAAGACTGCCCGCAAGCAGAGAGCTGCAGCCCACATGAGCGTCCATTCACCGAAAAAGGAGGAAGAAGCTGCACCGCTACTGATCGGATTCAGTAGCTCTTTTTGAGTCACTGTGGGCCATCTATTCCAAGCGCGTCAATGTTTTCTCCAGTACACAACGAAAGGCTCGTAAACAGGTAGCTATCAAGCCTGCCCACAAGAGCCCTTGATTCACCGAAGAAGGAGGAAGAAGCCGCACCGCTACTGACCGGATTTTGTAGCTCTTCTTGAGTCGTTATGGGCCATCTATTCCAAGCGCGTCACGTCGTTCCAAACAACATACAGCTCGCCAGCTTCATATGTTTTGAACATCCTAATAGCTCAGCATTGCTCAACCATCACGACAAAGTGATCCTTTTCAGGCAAACCATAACTTTTTTAAAGAGTATTTTCTGAACATTTGTCAAGGTCATCAATCGGATGTCAGGCAACATAGGGGTGCAATTTAAACCTTTGTCAGCCAATTAAGGGACCTTTGTATGAAAGTGATCTGATTTTGATTCAGAGATGAAGGATTTCAATTCTAAGTAAGCCAATTGATAGGAAACTTTTGTCTACGAATCTGCTGAAATTAAGACTTAATCAATTTTCATAAAGTTGAAAATTTGCGCGAATGTTCAACTGTTGCTATGATAGTTACAATTGCCTGCGAAAAGCGCTTTCCCTAACACAGATTTCAAATTCGATTTCCATCCGGTCTAGCCGACCGGTGTTTATTCAATCACCGCGTGTGGTGAGTGGTGGTGTCCGGTCGTCGTCAGCAGCAGCAGTGTTTTCGGCCCGCGGCGTTGTAAATTTTTCTCCAGTACACAACAAAAGGCTGCCCGCGAGCAGCTAGCTATCAAAACCTGCCCACAAGAGCCCTCGATTCACCGAAGAAGGAGGAAGAAGCCGCATCGCTACTGACCGGATTCAGTAGCTCGTTGTGAGCTCAGCATTACTCAACGATCACGACAAAACGGTTCTTTTCAGGACCACGATACATTATTGTTGTTGAAGAGTTAATTTTTATTGAACGTTCGCTCGCCTTGCTGCCAATCAAATTACCCCCAAAGCCCTTTGATAATGTACCCAGCAACCAAAAGTTTGTGGCCAAATGCGTTACAGTATTGAATTGGATATACAAATTCTCTCAATGACCGAATCCCACATGACCTTGTCAATTAACCAGAAAGACTTCGAATCAAGGTTAGGTTTTCTCCAGGGCACTAGACAAAAGCAGAAAAGTCTCGAAATTAAATGGTTGATCGCGAATATCTCGCGATTGGAAAAAGTTTAGTAAGAATTCCTCCAAACAAATTTCGCTGTTTTTGAATAAATTCCGTGTGTTTTGTGCACGAAAATCCGTAATTTCATCATCAGAAAACGAGGCGTTTCCGCGATGGGAAAGTGGTTTCCCTCACACAGTTGCCGAATATTGATACTGAGAACGTTATCCTACTTAAAATCTACAGTCATATCTTGGATACAACCTCTTACTTTTTCGCATTCCTTCCGTATTTTTTTTCAAATTGGAAGAATTCAGGTGCTGCATGAGGGGATTTTTGTTTACTATCGGACAGGTTTGGGCCGATCTCTGCATGATGTGAAATTTCGCCCGCAGGTATAGTTTTGACGTAGGACTACGTCTGTGATTTTTATACGGGGGTGTAGTTCGTGAAAACCGAAAATGGAACATGTAACGAAATTATGAAAGATTTTGAACGTTAATAACTCAGCTGCCCCTGGAGCAATTTCAATCATTTTATCACCAATCGATCAGAAATATTTCTAAGCATCAATAGCCGACTTTTGATTGAAAAAAACCTATTGAAAAGATGGTAAATGTCAAGCATTGTCCAAAAGTGTCGAAATAACAAATGAATCCACCAATTACGTACATGCATATGCTGCATAAAGTTTTAAGCGTCTTTCTGCTAAGCTCTAAGATTGACCAACTTGTTGAGAGAAGGAGTTTGAAGAGAAAAACTAAAATTGGGAGGAGCTTTAGCTGGGTGGACACTGATATTCGGCGGCCTTCCAACCTGTCGCAGGCACCAGTTCAACCCTTGTCTAGTAGCAGACGGGCCGATACTCTTGTGAGTGCCCAATAATTGAACCGAAGAATATGGAATTGTCCGGACGGATTTGCTGATCCAGCTTCCAAAAGAGTTAAATTCCTGAACATGTCCCAACTAAAAATCATTTCAAAAATTTCCTTTCAGGGCAATCATAGTCATACTTAAGAGTATAAACAGAGAGAACCCCGCTCAAATTCCTATTCCTACACAAAACGCAAGCTTCTGCTGCAGTTAACAAATAGCATTTATTATATAAGACCACGTCGTCCTACGTCACCATTGCGTACAACCCCATAGGGCTGTCCCTTGTAGTTTTTAATCATATTAACGAATCAAATTAACGAATCAAAAAAATTAAAAACATGGGTGGCCAATTTTCCAAAAAACTTCAGTTGAAGTTTTTGGATTTTCCCGGATATGACATACTTTGAAATTCATTACTCATGAATCAAGCTCTCTACGTTGCAGCTGAGAAAATTTCACATTAGTACTAGAGCTAGAATGATGGGAACAAAGAGCCAGTGCATTATGAGTTCGCATCCAAATAAACTCAAATTTTGGGAGAATTACCAGGACCTGATTTAAAATCGATTGAGCTTGGTGGAGCAAAATCGACCTTTTTGAACCACCCTAATACGCAGCTTCAAATCGATCAAGAGCCACTAAACTTTCCCTCACCTTTACAGATTAAATCTCAACAAGAAAAAACTACTGCTGCTATCGACTCTAGCCGCCATTGTTATAGTGGCTCTAGTCCTAGGTCTGGTCTTTGGCCTCCAAAGTGAAGATGCCGGCGGTAAAGGATCTCGCAAATATCTCCCAGGTGGGGCAGTCGTTTCCAATGGTGAGGAATGTGCCGCGATAGGGGCCACTATATTGAGGAAGGGTGGCTCGGCAGTTGATGCAGCGATATCACTCATGCTGTGCGAAGAACTAACATCCCCACAGAGTACCGGCATTGGAGGTGGATTCCTAGCGACGGTGTACAATCGTGAGACGGGAGTGGTAGAATCTTTGGATGCCCGGGAAATGGCTCCCAGTGCCGCGAAGGAAGATATGTTTGTGGGAAATGGCGATGCCGCTGTAGAGGGAGGATTGGCCATCGCAACTCCAGGTGTCATCAAAGGCTTCTGGGAGCTTCATCAACGATATGGGAAACTGAAGTGGAAGGAGTTGTTTGAACCGGTTATTCAGTTGGCGAGAGATGGCGTGAAGGTTTCTCAGTTTCTTGTGAGTGCTTTGCAATCTGAACGCAATAGACTTCGGACGATTCCATCACTACGGGAGTTGTTCGTAAACCCTGAAACTGAAGACGTATGGCAAGGAGGGGACGTTTTGAAGTACACGGTACTTGGTGACACTTTTGAAGTGATTGCCAATGAGGGGGTTGATTCACTGCACGGAGAAAATGGAACGCTTCTACCGAAGATTCTTGAAGATTTGAAGGAGTTTGGAAGCATCATCACGAAGGAGGATTTTCTCAATTACAAGTTTGTTTTTCAACCAGGTATCTTGCAGAATATACTAAGCTAGTTTTTTTTTACAGACCTCGTTGGCTAGCTCCAGCATCCACAACACTTCAACAGGGATCAAGTGTCTACAGTATGCCACTTCCCGGAAGTGGAACCATTGCCATCTACATGCTAAACTTGTTGGATGGATACGACGATTTACACCCGGATGATTCTCTCACGTGGCATCGGGTCTTGGAGAGCTTCAAACACGCTTACGGGCTGCGCACACGTCTCGGCGATCCAGAATTCATTCCCGAAATTCAGGAGTTGGTTCAAAACTTGACAAGTAAATCTTACGCGTCGATGGTTCGTGGGAAAATAGACAGTGATCAAACATCCACCGACTACGAGTACTATGGAGCGGAGTTCGCTGAGAAGGAAGATCATGGTACGGCTCACATTTCCGTACTGGCCCCAAATGGCGATGCCGTGGCCATGACAGGAACTGTTAACACTTTGTAAGAATACACTTCTCTGATTCTATTCTCGAGTTTATTAATTCTTTGCTACACAGCTTTGGTTGCAAGCGTCGATCACCTTCAACCGGGATCATATTCAACAACATCATGGACGACTTCTCCACCCCGGGAGTGATCAACTCCTTCGGAGTCCCAGCATCGCCGGCAAATTTCGTTTCACCCGGTAAACGACCAATGTCTTCCATGACACCAACGATTGTAGTTGACGCCAAAGGGGACGTAAGAATGATTGTCGGAGGTGCTGGGGGAACGCGGATCACTACATCAACCGTACTGCTGGTTCTTCAGAGTGTATTTTTCGGTCGGAATCTAGAGTCGACGATGAGCGCACCCAGGTTGCACCATCAGCTGGCACCGATGGCTGCCGATGTCGAGCAGACGTTCGATCAGTCTGTGATTAATGGACTAAGGGAACGGGGACATGAGGTACGGTTATCTACGGGGATTGGAACCACAACCGCAATTGCTAGAGAGCGAGATAACAGCATTAGTGCGGCCTATGATCCAAAAAGAGGAGGAAGTTGGGAAATAATTAATTAGAATGTGAAATTAGCGGGTTTGACACTTCTTCCGAAATCCTTGAAGGTTTGACTTCCGATATGTCTTTCCTGGAGAAATCTATCGCCGCGCACTTGCTGATGTTTAATTGCAGGTAGAGACTCTGCAGTCCGTTGTTTACTTTCTCTAACATTTTCCTACCTGTTTCTTCAACTGAATCCAGGTCGTCTCCTGTCATGAGTAGAGCGAAGTCATCCGCAAATTGTACTAAATCCCCTTCTTCCTCTTGAATATTATGCAGCGCAGCGGTGTACAGGTTGAAGAGTATTCAGGAAAGTGGGCAGTCCCTCGCTTACCACCACTTCCACAGTCCCCTCGCTGGTCTGGACTTTCAGGATTCTTCGGTGCAGGTATTCATGCAGCCGAGATATTATTTTGTCAGGGATGTTTTGCCTGGCCAGTGTTTTCAGCAGAGTTTTTAGGTTAACCGAGTCAAATGCTTGGATTAGTTTACATAGAATGGGGGTTAGTTTACTGTCTTCCTCGGACACCTTCACTTGAAGATACACCTTCATAATGTGTGCGGTGAGTACAAACGCATGCAATTGAAAGTTCATCAGGAGGTTATAAAACGTATCCTGCACGATGGATCCGGTCGCCAACAGGTCGTTGAGCGACAGTCCGTTCGATGATTTCTTTGCTCGAAGCTGCGTAGTGGAGCTCTCTATCTTAAAGACGCCGTGATGTGCCAGGTAAATGATCTTCGGGTGAGTTGGATCGAGTGCAAGGAACGCTTCCACGTACTTGTGGTACAGTACGTACTTTTTGGGATCTCGCTGCACTTGCCGTTGCATTGCCGTAAACTGTGCCAACACGGAGTAGCCGGTTTCTCCTATCGCTGTGGGATCGCGGATGAATTGCAGTTTCACTATGTAGCGTCCGCTGGCATCGCACACCGTAGTCCTAGTGTAGAGCTCTCCGCAGAACTGCTCCTCCTTTGTTAGATGCTGAATGGGCTTGAAATCTTCGATCTACCAGAACATGGAGATTAGCTGGCTCAATGATGGTTCGTCCTCGGGGTCAACGTGCGATACGAAGCACATTGGAGCTTGTAGTGCGGAGTTGTTCGACTTTAATAAACCAGCTACCACCCAGTCTAGACCCGTGGTGGCTCCAAGCAGTAGATCCATTTCATCGGGAATGTTGAATCGATCGTCTGCCAGCGGCTTGCTGGGATGAAGTTCCTAGTCGGAAATGTCGGTGAATTGGTGTGGAATCGGATTCGATATTGTTGGCATCACTACACAATCTATACAGACCTCGGCCCTGATTACCGATGTCACTTTACCGTGAAGTGACAACTTGTCACTCACGGTGAAGTGATTCCCATTTGATTTACACGGCAATCACTTCACCGTGAATGACAACTGGTCACTTCACTTTGTTTTCACCGTGAAGTGACACCCGTAATAAGGCCCCTCGTAATCCGAAGTTCTCGATTGAATGACAACTTTGATGGCCTCGGTGATCTTCGTTGTCAACCCAGAAATTCCTTTAAGTGGCATGTTGACTATGTGTGGCTTCAGTCCCAGCCTCTTTTACAGTTTGGCCGTGATGAAGTTGGCTTGCGACGCGGAATCTAACAATGCACGGGCGATGTGTTGCTGTCTACTGGAATCGATTGGATGGATCCTTAGTTTGTTCGTTGGTGGTGACGAAACTTGAACTTCGCGGTTGCGGTCTTGCTACTTGCCTCATAGCGGACTTTGGAGTCAGAGCTTGAGTGGTTTCTAGCGAATACGTGCGTTGTTCGAGAAACTTCGACCCCTGCGGTTTGACTTCCGAATCCACCTTAGCCAGGATAAGATAGACTAGCCAACCGTCACGGTCCTCACGTTCAATGGCCTGCAAAGCTGGCTTGACATCGTCGGCGGTTTCGTGGAGCTTGCGTAGACCAGAAACTGAGGGCATGGTGGTACTCGGAATCTCGCAGAACCGTTGGATATGGTGATTTACGATTTGGTCCTTCCGATCGAAGCATTTCTTGAGAATGTCCAGGGCTCCTTCGTACGTGTTGTCCTCGACCTTGATGTACTTTAGAAGGGCGGCTGTTCTTCCCGTTGTGTAGGTTTTCAGGTAGAATAACCGTTGAGCGTTCGTCAGACGAGAATGAATGAATTCCACTCCTAGTAGAACGAGGGAAGAATTCCTTTCGGGAAGTGTAGCTCGGGGGGAACTAGCGTAGCAGTCGATCTCGCTGCGGGAATCTTGCTCTGTCCTCCGGACGACGGCGGGGTTCGATTGTCTTGAATGGCACAGATCCAGAATGCCGTTATGCACTTCACAGAAGTCCTGCCAAAGTAGGTGCAGGTAGTCGAGTTCGGAGTTGAAGTCGTCGATGGAGACCGCTCCGTTGTCGAACTTGGTGACCCTGAAAACCGAGCGCTTCAGCTTCCCATCTACTGCAGATCGTCGTAACTTCAGTTGGTCCATGGTGTACGGGGTGGACATTCTGTTTACAGCGCCAAATGTTAACACAGTGACCTAATTTGTTAACGTAAATTTTAGGATTTCTGTACAGATTAGGTTGTTTTTCATTTTCCCACTAATTGAAACACAATTATAATCCATTTTCGCAAGTGTGCTATCTATATGGGCTTAGATGTGCTCTTCTTCAACTGCCAATTTAATGCACACATCAAAACTAGTATTTTTTGCCTTTCGAGTAACTTGCATGCACATTTTGAGAGTTTAACCGAGTGTATATAGGTATGAACTCGGTATTCACCTCAACTTACTTGTACTACACTTCTACTACTATTGTGAAGCATATATTGCTGCTGTCAACTCAGTAGAATCAAAAGTAGAAATCAATCAAATGGTCGGCCGAAACACCCCGATTCTAATAAAAACTCGTATGTATGGTTATTTGATAAAATTTCCCACTTTTTCTAAAATCGGATCGATTTCAAAATATCGTAGGACATCGATTTTCATTCTCTAGACGTCATCCCGGTACCAAAAATACCCATATTGATGGGTATTTGACAGTATTTCCCACTTTTTTTTAACTGGAAGCCACCAGCATATCCAAATTTTTCTTGGACTGGCAACCGCCATCTTGGATTTCAAAATGGTGACGCATATACATTCTCGATCTTTAGACATCACTCCAATTCCAAAAATGCCCAAATTGATGAGTCGGCATCAGTATTCCCCACTTTTTCTGAAATCGGAAGCCGCCATCTTGTATTACAAAATAGCATTGAATAGCGATTTTTGTTCTCTAAACATCATCACGATTCCGAAAAAATACCTATATTGATAGGCCCTTGACAGTATTTCCCACTTTTTCTTAAACTGGAAGCCACCGTCTTGGATTTCAAAATTTCGTCGCATATTTATTTCCAATCACTAGTCATCCCAATTCCAAAAATAATTATATTGATAGGCACTTGACAGTTTTTCCCATTTTTTCTGAAATAGGAATCCACCATCTTGGATTACAACATAACATTGGATATCGATTTTTATTCCTTCGACATCATCCCGATTCCAAATAAATACCCATATTGTTGGGCACTTGACAGTATTTCCCACTTTTTATTAAACTGGAAGCCGCCATCTTGGATTTGAAAATGGCGTTGGATAAAATACCCGTACTGATGGGTAAAAAAACCACCCGGCTATGATAAATTTAACATCCACGTACACAGATGAACCAACCGGTGGAAAGTAACGATTTTAAATTGACTCACTACTTGACTAGCCTATTGGTCCCAAGCAAATCGATTAACGTATCCCATTCTAGTTGAAATTCTAGTTCTACTCTATGTTTGTTTTGATTCGCTATGAAAGTTTGACAGATAAAATGAGGGGTTCGTGGATTTTCCTATGTTTTGAGGGGTGCATGGGACCGAAGAGAGTACCAGAGCTGAGCCAAAAAGTTGAGAATGTTTCTTCTGATGAACCGAGTGAACGAATTTGGATCGGACAGCTTCACTTCAAAGCGAAAGTTAGAGTCGGTGTATGTAATGAGTCACGCCAAGAGAAAAGTTGAACTCGCATCACGGTTTTCGAACGATTCGCTTTTCGCTTGGCAACAGTGCACTTCTACATCTACTTCAAATTACTTCTGGCGAGAATAAAATAGCGACTGTAGTAAATCATTATATCAGTGATTTTGTCAAATTATCTTATCAAGAAATAGTTGAAATTCTCATTTCTGATCATTGCCAAACGTATCCCATGACAATTTAATGCTCACTGCGTGTTTATGATCATTTCTTCGATTATATTTTATATTTTATTGCAATACCTTTCGCGGACCTTTCATAGCATCATAGCATCGTAGCCGGTTTGACAGTTCAATATTTAGACTTGGCTTCACTCTTGGCGTGACTCATTATACACTGACTCTAGCGAAAGTAAGTTCATTTGACAATGCAAGACAAAATGAACACGAGTCAAACCAAAAAAAAAAGTATGAAAACTGATCGAAAGTGGTTCTGATGATGTTTAAGGGGATCTGCTCGAAGAAAACACAGAATGACTTTCAATTGACAGTAATGGTTGACAGCTTCGTCGTCGCTTGACGATTTTCGATTGAAAGTAAATTTTTTGGACCCTGGGGCTAAATGGCAAACAGGCCAGTGAATCCGTCCTTTTTAATCTTGGACTAACATGGTAGAAGTTGAAAGTTCCGAAGGTGTCGAAACATAGCGACGATCGTATAGGAAAATTTCTACCAGTCTACAGAATACCCCTTGGGAGGTGTGTTATGTTTGAATTGAAAAAAAGTGATAACCTACCTAACTACGAGTATAACTTAACCTAACGTGCTAGATCACGTATGATCTGATGATTTGATCTCAGACAGGTGTCTCTGAACCTTTCCAGGATGAATACTCTCCGTTCTTCTAATGTCTGAATTCCAGCCAGGAGGTGGATCTCAGAATTTCTAGTTCGCGGGGGACTGTTTAGGATCATCCTAAGGATCTTGTTCTGGATCCTTTGGAGTTTGAGGTGACGGCATTTGGCGCAACTCTCCC